ATATAAGAAAGTCATCAATCTCTAACTTTTAAAAATTTTACTTGTGTAAGTCTTCATAATAAAATAGATAACTGAAAAATTTTTAAATATTCCCATTTTTACAACTTATTCTAAATGCTTTCTAGACCATTTGGCTCAGAATTCCTTACATGTGTAACTGGTCTCAAATACCATAAATCAACATTTTCTTCAAATTTCTAATGATATTGGCTATCACTTCAGTCTCCTATTTCCCTTATAAACATACACAGTAAATCAACTACTTAAAAATTATAAAAAACTTCAGATTATACAAGGGGACAAATTTCACTATTGATACTGACACCCAAATCAGACATATATAAAGCTGTCATCTTTAGCATTTGTTCTTAATACTTTAAGACTCGTGCTTCTATCTGGAGATTTGCAGTCTATCACCTCTTTTTCCTGTTCTGGATCTGTTCTCTCCAAATTGCTCCACCTTCACATCCCCACTCACTCGTTCCCAAAAATAAGTTAAAGGATGTGCTACTTTTGGGGGCGCCTGGGTGGCTCAGTGGGTTAAAGCCTCTGCCTTCGGCTCAGGTCGCGATCCCAGGGTCCTGGGATCAAGCCCTGCATCGGGCTCTCTGCTCAGCGGGGAGCCTACTTCCTACTCTCTCTCTGCCTGCCTCTCTGCCTACTTGTAATCTCCATCTGTCAAATAAAGAAATAAAATCTTAAAAAAAAAAAAAAAAGGATGTGCTACTTTCAAGAGTCTAATAATCTAATCAAACGTCTCACAGTTTATAACTTAGGACACTGCCATGCACATGTTTGCTCACATTTACCAGCCCAGTCCCTTAAGATTTTACAGAAAAACCAGAGACCAGCAACAACCAAGTAAAATCAGTCAGGTTAGAACCCAGAAGACAGGGGAAACGAAAACTCTTCACAGTGATCTCATTGCTAAAAAACAACGACAACAACAACACGGAATCCTTTGTGAGCTCAGCAAATGATTGACAATATGATTATGTCATTAAAGTGAAAAATAAGTTGCATTCTAATACAAAATTAAAATACACCAAATAAGAAAAAGCTTCATGTTTATACCGTTATCAGTTAGCCACTGCACATCAACTTTAGACCTTTCTCCAGTTCTAGAAGGAGATGGTGGCGGGGGCGTGGAGGGAAGGCAGAAAACACTAACATCAGTCAATCACGAAATTATAATATAAGGGAGTAGAGCTTTAAAACATTTTTGGGCCATGATCCATAATAAGAAATATATATTTTACATTGTGGGCCTGTAGAGAAAAACCATTTTATAGATCAATTACCCTTAGTCTGTGCACTCCACTCTGATATTTTCCTACCCTATCCTATCCCAGTCTCCCTCTTTTTTTTTTTTCTTTTCTTTTTAAATGCTGACCCTGACTCTCATTTGATTCTAAAAATGAGGAGAGAAGGAAAGTAAGTGTAGAAGCTAAGGATAGAAGGTAGAGGTGGCTATGGGGGGACTTTGCCCCACAGGAGATATTTGACAACATCTGGAGACATTTTAGGTTCTTATAACTGGGGGTGGGCATGCCACTAGCATCTAGTGGGCAGAGGCCACAGATGCTGCTAAGCACCTTATAATGCACAAAACAGTTATCCAGCCCTGAATGTCAATAGTTCTGAAACTGAGAAATGTGTTCTGGACTATTTAATGAGGAAATCATAGATAAGATTGGAAGGTCAATAGTTCTTTTTAAACCTCATGAAAAAATATATTTTAAACTTTGAGAGACAGGTCTAACAATGAGATGCAGAGATACCATGACACTGGCAACCTAAGACATACCTCTTTCCATAATCTAAAGACAAAAAAAAGGAAAAAACTCAGTTTGCAATTTTCTAACCCAACACAAAATATGAGGAAGTGATTGATACAGCATTGTAAAAAGAGAACTATATGATAGCTAAGAGATAAGTGTTATAAAATTTAGAAATCACACAAAATTAGTGGAGATAACCTATGCCTCTCCTTCTGAAGTCCTATAGTACCTATAATACAAATTCAACAGGCTTATATTGCTAGTTATTTTAGACTTTCAATTTCTTAAGGGTAGAAACTGGGTCTTATTTAAGACAGATTTTTTTTTGAGATTTATATCTCAAAATTATATCTCAACAAGTTAAAAAGTATATTCTTCTTAGCCTGAATACAAGCTTACTTCAGTATATGGCAGATCGTAGAAGAGATGGAACCAACATAAATGACCACAATCCATGTAACCAGGACTATATGTTCAATCAAAACTCTTGAAGGCTGTCTCAAAGAAGTCTTAACCATTGTTGGTTACCATAAAACATTAAATAAGTAATCTAAAAATGTTCTTACTATCTACTATTTGACAAATTATCAGACAACGAACATACTATTATATTTATAAATAAGGAAACAGACCTAGAGTGGTGAAATAGGTAGAAGAGATCCTATAGTTAATGAATTTCACAGCCAGGATCTGAGCTCCTCTTTGACTCTAAAACCCATGCTCTTTCCATAAAACCCTGTTAGTGTTTCACAACAATGGCCTATCACTCACAGATTGTCACTATCAGCCTAACCCCATTGTTGATAACTGTTCTCTTCTCCTTTGGTTTGTGGCATTTTCTATGTTCTTATCATTTATTTGTTTTAAGATGCCATTTTGGTAGAAGGATTATTTTCAGCAGAAGACACCTGAGAAGAAGCAAATACAAGAAGACTGCCTGCCCTCCCCTCTCTTTGCCTAAAAGCAGGATATAGATTGTAAAGGTGTCCCTCCCCCCTGCCCTCTATCAGGAAGGACAGAAGTTAATTGCTCTAATTAGCAGGCAAGAGATGGCTCTGGAGAAGTCTATGTAACAGACTTTACCACCTAACACTTACCTTCCATTAGTTCCCTCATATACTCACCTTCCCATGATTTGCTACCCTAGAAACTCACAGTCCTTTTTCTTTGTCTTGTCATCTCTCTAGAAATCTACCGTTCTTTTACAAAGAGACTTTATAAGCACAAATTCTAACCACCCCCGTAAGTTTCAGGTAGCCGAAAGCTCCCACATATATACACAATACACAGGATAATAAATTAGTTTTCCTCTTGTTACTCTGTCTTGTGTCAGTCCCCCACCCCAATGACCCTAACAGGCATAGAGGGGCAAAAAAAGAGTTAAGTTTTTTCTCTGTACACCTTCCACATTAACTTGTAGAAATAAAATATAGGCACCGATTGGGATTATAACTAGAACGGCCTTAACCCCAAGACATTGTTTGAAAGAACATGCACCTTTACAATATTTAGCCTTCCCAATCAGGAACATGATGAATACCTACTCACTCAGTGACTACCTTCCTTTCTGTTACTCAGTAAGCTTTATAGCTTTTTTCATGTAGGCCCCCCTCCTTTCCTATTAGTTATTTTTAAATCCCATTTTCTGTTTTTAGCTCAGAATGGGAACTGCTTTTCATTCACATCTCTAACTATTTTTGGTACAGCACAAAATGATTCCATATTAATTTCCTATCTAGCTGTCTTCTTGAATTCCTTTATTGATTCCTGTTGATTCTTATGAAGAAGTCAATTATTCATCAAATGGTGTCAGAAAATTGTGTGTGTGGCGAGCAGGGGATTCGTGTTAGATCCTCACATATCTGGTATATTTTGGTAAATACCAAAATAAATCACAGAAAGATTAAAAAGTTAAAGGCTAAAAGTAATAAAAACACATGAGAAAATACACAGCTCAATATTTAACTGCCTTGGGGATGAATAAAGAGTTTCTATGGATAAAAGAAATGGGGGGAAAAAATCACCAAAGATGCAAAGACACCTCTATTAAATTCAGTATTTCCAAGTAACCCCAGAAAATTAGTAGATAAACATCAATATGGGAAATACATTTGAAACAGATGACCGTTAAATGGGTAAAAATCCTAACCGTATAAAAAGTTCTTAAAATCACTAAGAGAAAAACGAATTAATACCCAATAGGAACATGGGCAGAAGAAATAACAGGAATGAACCGGTAATTCATAGAGATATCAAACACCAATAAAATACAAAACATTCAACTGCATGATCAAATTCAAATTAAAATGACAAAGAGAAAGCCTTTCTGTGGCCTATTCAATTGCAAAGATTTAGTGCTTTGAGACTGAAAATAAAACTTCTGACAAGAGTATAGAGTGTTATAACCATCCTGGGAAGCAAGTTGGTATTCTGAACCAAGAGCTTATAAGAATCAGAGCATGAATATGTATTTGTGAAATATTCAAGGATCAGGCAAAAATTCTTATGTAAAGATAACCGTTAGAACATTATTTGCGCTCATAATTGGAAGCAACTGGAATACCCCCAGAGAGAGGAATAGTTTGTGGTAAATCCATATGATAGACTCTTAGTGCAGCCATTTTAAAAACGTATTTCTGAGGAATATCTAATGGCTTGGGAAAAAGTTAATGATATGATATCAATTAAAAAAAATCAGAATACAAATTATATATAGCATGATACCAATTTTATCAATATGTGAAATACACATGCATAGGAAAAAGGGAAGAAAATACAACAAAATGTTAACAATGGTTATATTTCAGAGAAAAGGTTATGGATAGTTTGCATTTCATTCTTTACACTTTGAAGAAAATTTCAGATATTCTAAAGTAAACACATTGCTATTTGTAAAGGAAACACATACAAAATGTTATTTTACAGTTATAGCTAATAGGTATTTTTTAACACACCATGAGGTGATGTAGGAAAATTTTCATAAACAAAGTGAAAAAGGTTTTTAAAAAAAAAATCAGTAGACTTCTCTGCCACATGAACAACAGAAGATATTTACTTTTTAAAACTTGAAACTTTCTTCACATAACTGGCACCATTAAGAAACTTTTAAAATAAAGGTAGTTATATCTAACTATTAAATGTTTATCACAAATACAACCTAAAAAGAAAACCCCCAGGGAATTAACTACAGGGAAAGTGTGATTAGAAGACCGTACTTACCTTTCTCACTTACACTCTCACTTTCAATCTCAACGTCATCACAACTCGTGTATTCAGGTGTGGAAGCTAATTCCTCCTCTGAACTGCTCAACGAAACCTGGCGCATTTTACCTCCTTTCTTTGATTTATGAGGCTTTGGTGGTGGAGGTCTCACTGACTCTGACTGGTCGGAACTGAGAGAATCATTCCTTAACATTGTTTCCATTTTTTCCCGTTTTGTTTTCCTCACAGCAGAGCTGGGATCTAAGTGGTGTTGTTTCCTCAGTGAGTCAGTACGTCTCATGTCTGGTCTATCAATGGGTATTGGACTCCTCCGGGGGGTGGGAGGACTATGGTTTGTGGTCCTTTGTGGATAAGAACTTGGTCCCTGAGCCTCTCGAGTTCTTTCCATTGAGTAAGATCGCTGATTTTCCATGGCAGCTCTACGTTCAGATATAGATCTTTGCCTTGATGGCCGTTCCATCCTCAGCATAGAAATCCTAGAATCTTCCAGTTCAGCATTTGCCAAAGAAACATCACTATGCCTTCTCTCATGCCTTGCTCTGGACACTTCCGCATGAATACGCATTTGTTCTTCATAGGGCTGTGGCTTTACTGGATAACGGGCCAAATTCGGGTCACTTCGATAGCGTGCCTGGTATTCCTCCTCTCTCCGTTGCCTTTCATATTCATCTCTGCTCTCCACGTCCTCATCATCTACAATGTATTCTTTGGAATGCCTATGACTTCTCCTGTTGGAGTCCCTGTAATTTATATGGTCAGACTCTTCGTAAAACTGAGGTTCACGCTGAGACCTCCTATCAGCATAATCTGATGGAGACCTAGGCATGGCGTTATCTGAAGTAGCATACTGTGAATATTCTTCTCTTTCTTCTCTTTGGTCGTATCTTCTATTCTGATCTCGGGATATGGATGGACTTCGTGTCCTAAGTAAGCAAAGGAAAAGAATGATGAGAAGAGCGATGTCTAAACAACGCAATGTTTCATTCATTCATTCACTGGTGAGTTGATGAATTAAATTCAAATAGTTATTTTGCTTTAAAAAAAAACCAACAACTCCTTTTAAAGTCATGCCATAGCCAACATCTTACTGGTATTCACTTTATTCAGTTCAAATAGGAAATTTAAAAGGTATTTTTGATATGGTTCTTTAATGCCTGACATACTCTATACAGAATATACTTACGCCCTGAAATAAGAGAGTCAGCATCATACTCTGCTGCAGCAAAATGGGCTTAGACTCTAATTTCTTTGCTTGGCTCAATACACTTCAACAATCTCCCAACTGCTCTTCCGAAGCTTTGAAAAATTCCACCTGACACTCTCTCTATTCCTGACACCTTGATATGAAGTCACTTGAAAATATACTGAAGCCAAACTGATTTGGTTCAAGAGCTGAATATTTTTCTGACTAAAATTAAATGCTGGCTCTTCTTTCTTTTTTAAGATTTTATTTATTTATTTGAGAGAGGGGGACAGAGACAGAAAGAGCGAGCAGGGGGAGGGGCAGAGGGAAAGAAACAAGCAGACTCTGCAGTGAGCAAGGAGCCCAACGCAGGGCACCCCTAAATGCTGGCTCGTAAATCATTTTTCATAGGGGTCTATGGGTGGCTCAGTCAGTTAAGCATCTGATGCTTGATTTCGGCTCAGGTCATGATCTTGGGGTTGTGGGATCAAGCCCCAGTGTCTGGCTCAGTGCTAGGCCCAGTCTGCTTATCCTTCTCCTTCTGTTCCTCTCCCCACTCTCTCAGTCTCAGTCTCTCTCTCTGTCTCTCTAATAAATAAATGAATAAAATCTTTTTAAAAAATCATTTTTCATCCATCAGCTACCTAGATCACTCCCAATATTGGTTCATCTAAATCTCCACCTAATCATTATGTCTCCAACCCTTCTTTACTGCTCTAACTTGAGATAAGCAATTTAAATAAATAACAACAATAATGACTTATTCATCACCCATTCAAAAAAAGTCTTTGGGGTGCCTGGGTGGCTCAGTGGGTTAAGCCTCTGCCTTTGGCTCAGGTCATGATCTCAGGGTCCTGGAATCAAGTCCCACATCGGGCTCTCTGCTCAGCAGGGAGCCTGCTTCACCTCCTCTCTCTGCCTGCCTCTGCCTACTTGTGATCTCTGTCTGTCAAATAAACAAATTTAAAAAAAATCTTAAAAAACAAAAAAAGTCTTTGAAGAAGTCCGAAGGGACTGCTATTTTTATTCTAACTTCATTGAGATTAAGACCAGCTCAATGACACTTCTCTTCTTTGTCTTTACATCTGACCCCTCATACTTCCTTATAGTTTTAGAGGAAGAGACCATATATTGAGTTCTCGACCTGCCCCCTAACACTGGTACAACATAGCAGACCTTGTCCTCATACATATTACTCTTTGTCAACAAAACATTCATACTGTCTTCTTCTCTGGTATGAACCCAGATAGTCAACCACTAGCCATGAAATGCAGTGAGACCAGAATCCTAAAGATGACAGAAATTCAGGATATCTGTTACAGGGATTTTTGCCAGGACAATACGAAGAGGAGATAATAAAAAGTGAGGTCAGTTGAAGTTAAAGATGACCAACTTTAGATAGCTCAGTTGTGAATTTCTTAGATGTTGTTATCATTATGGGGAGGGGGGATAAAAGCAAGAACAGAGAAAGGCTACACGTGGAATGAGCCAACCCAGCAACAGTATCATTCCCCTCTAAAGTCTCCCATGTCACCGAATCTCTTTCTCCCATATCTGAAACACAGCCTGCGAATGTATCAATCAAGATTTATTAATAAAAATAAAAGTCACTCTAGGTTTTCCAGGGAGTAAGGGTTTTAACACAGTGATCAAGAGCTATGCAACTGCACCAGCCATGAAGTCCAGAGAAGCTGATGTTGCCATTCTCAGCCTGAAGAGCCAAACACAAGGGCTCTTGAGAGTTCTTTAGGGAGCCGCTGTGAAGCTCAAGAGTCTATGGGAATCTGCCACCAGTTATCTCTGCTGCCCATAGCATTAGGTGGTCCATTAAGTAGGAGAAGCTCACCAGGAGCCACTGAGATTTTTACACCCATGCGCCTGCCAACAGCAGCAGCCTGATGATAAGGGTTTCTACGACTCTTCTGCCTTCCAGTGTCACACAAGTGCCCAGCCAGGGGACATCCTAGCCTCAAACCCTAAAGGGATAGTATTACAGAAAATGAAGGAACTAGTCCATTTTATGATTAGACAAGTGGACGTCATTTCTGTTTTACACTTATATCCTACATCTGCCTAAAAAAACATTTAGGACTTAAAAACAACTCTTTTCAGTTACAATTGTCACATAAAGCCACAGACTCCTATATTTTAAAATATATAATTAAAACAGAGCGCTCAAAATAAATTTTATAGTATTGACCTACATAATATCCTTTAGGGGTATCTGTTATGCATAATTCATTTTACTTTTTTGACATTTTTTAATATGTGTGACTAAACAAAAGAATGCTTCGGCATGGTGGCGATTATCATAAGGAAGAGCAGAATCAAGGGACCTGGGTTTCTTAGTCCCACTTTGGGTATTAGCCATTTACTTGAACCTAGATGGCCAGTTAACCTTTGAGAGTCTATATTTTACAGTGAGAAACATAGATTATATACATTAACTCATATATTATTTTAACAAATATGTATTGGGCAAGAACTAAATGCTTCATACTATAATCTAGATTAGGAATAAGGAAATGTGGGTCATCTGAGTGGTTCAGTTGGTTAAGCTATGATCTTATAATACTGACATCATAACTTCATTAAGTTAATATGCCTAAATGAAAGCTTTAAGGATAGCAAAAAAATAATAGTTCTGGCAAGATATAAATAACTGACTGGTGCCAATTTTCAACATAGTCACATCTCATTAACTGGCTACTTATATCTACTCGCTATATTTTTAAAAATGAGATAAATGAGAATTTCTCTAGGGAACTCTAAAAAATAGACGTTTACATCAGTTCTTTTTTTAAAAAGATGTACTTATTTATTTATCAGAGAGAGAGAGAGAGATTGAGTGCAAGCATGAGCTGGAGGGAAGAGGCAGAAGGAGTGGGGAAGCAGACTCCCCCCGAGCAGGGAGTCCAACGTGGGGCTCAATCCCAGGACCCTGGGACCATGACCTGATCTGCGGCAGACACTTAATGGACTGAGCCACCCAGGCACCCTCTATCAGTTCTTCTAAACTGACCATCTAACCTCCATTAGATGCAGACTTCATGTTAGGAATTCAAATACATTTTCGTTATGTTACTTTTTTCCAATCTAAGTTAACAAATGTATTTGTCTCTAAAAATACAGGTTATTCATTAACCAAATTTAAATTCTGGAAATTGGAACTTCTAAGAGCAAGATTTTAGGGCTTCTCAGATTTATATGGTACATAAGAAAACTATTTGTTAAACTTCATTTCTTTTTAAAACTCTTCTTTTTTTATCTGAGTATGGTTGACTACATTCCCTACGCTGTGCTTTTTATTCCTGTGACTTCGTCATTCTGTAACCAGAAATCTGTATCTCCCACCCGCCTTCACCCATCTTGACCATCCTCTCATTGTTTAAGTGAATTGTAATTATCCTAATTGTGATTGCAAGAAAGTAAAAAAATTCAGAAAATATTAAGGCGGAAATTGGATCTTTTGAAGACAGTTCAACCTAACGATGGCCTTCCTTCTCACTGTACCTCTTCCCCAGGTAATCGTATCCGTTTCTATCCAGGAATGTCAACAACACTCTCAGACCTTAAGGTTCATGAGGAACAGCATCCTGAATCTGTTTAAGCATCATATAGGAGGTGCTTGAAAAACATCTGTTGAATTAAAGAACTGATTAATTCTCCCTTAGGTTATCTCTACTTTTCACGATATGTTCTAGTCTTCTATACTCAAACCCACTGATGGGCTAAAATAGTCATTCTTCTCTTTCCCCTAGTGTTCCCTTGGCAGTAATAACACCCACCGTGGGTAAAAGGAAGGACTTGCTTTTAGTAATAGTAGACATTACATGTTAATTTGACTTTCGTTGTTGGGCTTCAAAATCCAACAATTGCTTATAAAATGATTTCTTTGGCAAAATATAATTAGAGTGTCAATCACTTTACAACTAAACATTTAGAACAAAATCTCTTTGTAAATTAAGAATTTCTAGTAATATATTTGACATCACACTTGTCATCATGGGACAGAGGTAGGGGCAAGAAAAGAAACACTTCTATCCCTGAGGAATTAATGTAAATTTTTGAAAGTAGGTTATAAACAAAGTGAATATGGTGAGCCTCTAAAATATAGGAAATATATTTTATTATATTATTTATTATATTATTATAATTCACTGATTTTTAAAAAAGAATATTTCATAGAATTCAGTTCCAAAAGAAAGTCTATTATTAATTAGCATTTAGCAAGTCATCTAAGTACTTTTTAAAAATCATACCTTAGAAAAACTGAATTCAGTATTAAATCCAGCAATCACGTTGTTCTACAGAAATTTGCCTGAAGGCTGTGAATCATACTGTAGATGCTGATTTGTACTGGATTTAAGTAAAAATAGAATAGTGCTCATGATTTCTGAAATTGGGATAACTATTGTCACTGTTACTTAACATGGAATAAAGTTTTTAAAAATACATTTTAAGGTAGTACATTAAAGCTATGCTAGGAGCAAGGCAAGATTTTATTCTATGACCATTCTTATCAAACAATGAAGAATCTGCTCTCAATTAGTCCAAAATATTAAAATATCCTGTCCAATAATTTTGCCAACTAGATCATGAATTATTTAATATATACTCTCCTTAAAATTAAAACGCCTATGTTTTTGGACACTATATTTTTTTCAGGACCTGGAGAAAACCCATGAAAATTTGAGTACTATATCTCTAATCTCTACCTTTCCTACTGCCCTCTGTAAG